CCCCCCCCCCCCCCCCAAAAAAAAAAAGGAGAAAAAAAAAAAAAGGAGAAAAAAAGACGACAATGTTCTCACCCATGCCGGCGTTCCTCTCACTCTCTTTGTCTTACCTCCCGCGCTATTCGACTTACGGTACCTCATATGGATGGATGTTCCAATCAATCACTCTAATTTTGTATTTGATTGCCTTCTGTTTTCTCTTCTTTTCTTGAGTGCTTAGCCGCTTAGCCACTTTATTCACGCCAGACGCTAAAAGCCACTACTGCATGAACACAACAGCTGCAATCTCTTTTCCTTCAGGCACAGAAGGCTCCGGCGAAATCAAAAAGCAAACGACCGTGAACTCGTAATCGCCTCAGCCCAACGGGGTTGGGAGAAAATGTCCGCCCGTGTGCAACTTGTGAGGAGGGGTCTCGGGCCTGCAAAGCTACCTACCTACCTAAGCGAGGGACGACGGCTGAGTGCAGATAACTACGGGTGATGGTATGCAGCCATCGTGGACGGCGTGTAACAGGGTTCAGCGCTGTTTTAGCAACAATGACCTTCCCTATACCGGAAACGGGGGGCACGACAACAACAAGCAGGCACGGGCAACCTTCATGCCCCTGGACCCGTCCATGCGCTCCTTTGGGCAGTGGGATCCGGATGGATGCCCGTGAGGGGGCGGGAGCGCCCGCTGAGGTACGTGCAGCATCTCTAAAATGATATGCAGCTTGCAGCTGCATCTGATGATGCCCCTGTTCCTGATTCGATGGCGTTTTGTTTCCTGGGCTTGCTCACTCGCAGTACGCAGTGAAGTATTCCGTATCGGCACATAGTCCCCTACCGTACATCGCGAAGGCTTTTTTTTCTCTTGAGTTTTCGTCGGGGCTGACGCGATACTAGTCTCAGTGACTCCATTGGCAATATAGGATACGCTATCCGAGGAACATGAGCATCGAGCAGAGCTTCGACACGACCGTCGCAGTATCTTAGGCTTCGGACCTGGAGTTGTTGATTAACCGGGCACCTCCCCCCAGGATTGTAGATGATAGAATCGCGCTGTTCCTCTGGCGTCGGCGTATCCGAGGAGTTTGAAAGAAACTGCGACTCTGCGAGGCAACACAAACTTCAGTCAGAAAATCAACCACAGGAGGGATGAGCGGGGGTCCTCTCGGAAGGGTAGTATGGATCGAAGCTTGGCGCCCAGAGCTACTTAGGAAGGCTCACCACCACTACCCCTAAGTAGTCCGGCGATCTGGATAGCAATAACATGGAACCTCCAGGTCCCCTCCGTCTCGCGGGAGGTGCCATAACTTCTCACAGTATTTTAGTCGAGTTAATTTTAGCTACTGCCTCATCATTCTACGCCTATAGCACATGGCCTGATGGGCGAGAACCTGGTGCAAACTAGTCAGCACCGCGACAGCTTCTCTCACTTCATCCTTTACCCCCCACGAGATGGCAATTTGAGTCAAAGAAGATCGCTTGTGTGAGAGAACAAATAAGGTAGCTGTGTCAAGCGGAACTTCTTCCACTACATTGAAATAGCTGTCAGCGTTTTCATGTCGACTGTAACCACGAGCTATCCCGTTGACTCAAGCAGAAAATGTAACTTTTCTCGGTCCCAATCTCGTCCGCCCTCCCCCCTTTGTCATATACCCTTGCCTTTTCCTCTGTACACTACATATCCAACGGGTAACTACCTGACATCATTAGTTGTCTTGAAGGATCATGCAAATTCCGCCTTGACGAGACCCTTTGAGAAAACACTGCAGCATGTTGATACGCTCCGCAGACTGCTTTGGTCGACCTGCTTCTCGTTTCTACTATACTATTGCCACCAGTGTTGTACTCATCGGAAGACGGCAGGGACGGGAGCGCTGGGGGCACCGGGTACAAGTCCGGCGCCGGCCGGGCGATTATTCAACGGTCAATACTAACTGTAACAGGCTCCTTGAAAGACGACGGAATGAATCATCGGTCTGTCTATCGACGACAAGCACGTTTTTTCAACCAAAGAATTGCTGGTTTGATCGTTGAACAAGTCAGGTATGCACGTGAAAACGACGATGTCGGTTGATAAACATATGATCAAGGTAGGAATCACCTCTGAAGCCAGATACCTAGAGGTATCTTGCCAGCTTGTGTACTGGTTACCGTCCAGTACCAGTTCATAGTTGAGTTACCTCCTAGGTGTCTTATGAAACGGCTTTAACAAAGCAAATAGTAATAGCTATTGTTTACAGAGCAGATGACTGTACTTTAGTTATGCACCACGTCGCGATAGTTTACTTCATTATGCCCCACGGTGTTTAATGCCTGTAGTACCGACTGTTCTCTACAGGTCTATAGCAAAGCTTTTTGAATGTCAAATGTCAAGTCTCTTTGCTGATAAAGAACAATCAATAGTGTGTCTACCTCTATTATATTGACCTCTTTTTCAGAACCCTTCATAGAATGTAAATCTAAAAAACCTTTGGAAAAGAGTGCCCGCCCGCTGGTTGGTGGGTGGTGTGTGGGGCAGGCGACTGCGTTTCGGAGGTTCAGCAGGTTTAGGGTCTAAGACTACCTACAATCGACAGGTATATCTGCTTGGAGTTGCAACTTGGAACTTTTTCTTCTTTCTTTTTCTATTAGATTGGTCCGACAGCTTCGCTTCCTCTTTGCATGCTTGAAACTGGCAAGCATTTCCCCCATTAAATGCCCGCGTCAATTCAGCACAGTCAGGAACGGCAACCTCCGGCATTCAGTGAAAAGTGATGGAGTAGGTAAGTGCTCCGCAGTGAGTGGTGTGCAGTGGACGGGAACAAAAAGAACGGAGCTCGGAGCCCATAGGGTACCTCTACGTAAACGAACTTTCGTGACCTGCAAAATTTCACTCCTCCGTTTTGAGAGTTGGAGAAAAAAAAGGAAAACTTCGGAGTAAGTTTCGGTACGTATTAAATCCTTGAGCGGTGCTCGCGTAACTTATGCACAGGGGAGGATTACAGCTTTCGTTACATCCCTAGATCGTTACGTACATAAACCACCGACCTGTATTAACCCAGCGCGGAAGCCAAGCCTACAACCAAGCCTTTTAGTTCTCTTCTCTTTCCACCGACTTTACAAACCTTTGCCCGACGAGAAAGTCCCAGGGGGCAGCTCGACAAGAGAGAGTACTGTGGTAGAAAAGAATCAGAAGAACTTGGAACCATATACGACGGCCAGGTGATTAGCTGGTTCCAAGTGCCCACTTGATAGATAGGTAGGCTCCGCAGGTAGGTAGGTATACTACGTAGAAGATGCCTGCCCGTGTCTGCTTGGTCGTCGAATGCTATAGGGCTTTCGCAGTTTCAGTCCCGTCCCGTCCGCCAAGATGTTCCTGTGTAAACCCAGCAGCATCAGCTGGCAAAAGTGTGCATTCATGACGTAGTGGAAATAAATGCGTCGTGACATGCTATAGCACCTTTTCTTTGTCGTAATCGCGGTAGAAATATGTACCAAGGATCTTAAATAACCCAACATGCTGAAAGTTGAAATTAGGCAGGTGCGGTGCTCCATCCGCCGTTGATGCCAATATCGCAATATCGTTCGCTTTAGCTTTGACCGACGACGACAAAAATAACACGATTGCATCTCATTATCACGATTGACTTTCCCCATCGTCAAGCTTACAGTGGTCATGCGCGCAACTCCAGCAGATTTCGTCTGATGTTATCTTGGAATGTCTGACTTGCCTCATTAGAGGTACCTCCCCTACCTCCCTGTGCTCATCCCTATGATAAGTTTCATCGGCGCGAGGCGAAAATCGACATCTTCTGTTCGTATGCTTATACGTTCGGGAAATACAGTGGCATTTGGAATTTATCTACAACACGTGTACCGTATGAGTGCAATCATCGTACCCTTCCGCCAATGTACACCACCTCGTGGCATCCCCCATTTCATGCCATCCTTCTCCAACTCGCCCGCCAGCGAGGCTGACGATGCCAGTTGCCACATGCTGCCCATGTTTATTGTCCACATATGCTTAGCGGTGGACGGCTAGACAGCCCCAAACTACACAGCACCCGGGGTAATAATGCACTTGTCGTCAGGTCTGGACCCGCCACTGATTATCATGGGAATACCCTCTTTGGTCTCAGTGCTCTTTCCCCGGATGCCCGTGGCTGATCTAGTCGAGTCTTGCGAGCCTTGGCAGGCAACTCTGAACCCTTGAGACCCATCCTTCCTTATGCGTGTCTCGCTCATCATGAAATTCACTATAGGATTATCGGGCGGCGCCTCAGGTCCGATCCCTAGCTTTCTCGAGACGAGTTACCTTAAGTGATGACCATTACGGTCCTTCCCTCTCCGGGCCCCCGGCCCCCCCTCTCCCGCCCGTCATCAAAAGCCAGACTGCCATTTATCACGAGTCGTGGCTGCCCCTTTCGGCATCGCGCATCTCACGCGCAGAGACAGATGATCTCGGCTACCAGCTTACCGTCACCTAAACCTTACCAAGTATCACATTTCATCCGTATACCGCCTGTCATTCTGCCTGATTTGGCGATGTCAAGGCCAAAGTCGGCCCGCAACAACAGCAATAGGCTCTCAGGCGTAGGCCGGGGTCTGATGGAATTGGTTAGATATGTTTGACCATGCTCTTTCCCATAGCCCAAAAGCACACCTACGCCGTCGATGGGCGACAGGCTGTCCGTATATGCACGGGCATGCGGTCAACTCCAAAGACGGATCACGACTGACGATGTTCCTTTTTCCTTTCCTATTTTCCTTTTTGGGAGGGTCTTCAATCTGGGGTACAGTACAAACGGGAGTGGTAGGTACTTGGCATTGCTGAACTCATCCAAGAGATCTTACCAGTATTGAGCTTGCGTTGGACATTTCCAGTTAAGTCGTTTTTCTCGACATAGCATCTTTTCGACCAGACAATCACGAATCACCGTCATAATTGCAGGAAGGCGCCAAAGAGATGCTTTCTTTCCTGCCTTTTCTCAATCTGTCTGATTTCTCGCGACGAGAAGCAGGGTCTTTGGTAGCAAAAAGAGAGATTGCGAACCCGGCAGGACCATGACCTCCCATGTTTGAGCCTGTTCGGTGAAGGACCGTCAAGCTGTCTCAAACCCCATCTTCACCGGTTTCAAATCACACTGCAGCCCAGGCAGACCTTGGTTTGTGCAACCTGACAGATTCCTTTTTTTAATTGGAAACCATATCGATTGCCTTCCAAACTGAGACCTTTTCGGACTGACTTGCAATCTTTGGCAACTCCATCTTACTCTACATGGAATACTCCATGTCCTTCTATCTGGCTACTTATGTTGACAATGGGTCATTCACAGTAACGTGCTCAAGTTGCCTCTGACTTGATGGACCAACCGCGCCCACGACGAGTCAGCTAACTTGACGAAGCACTACGGTCCAGACACTGCCCCTTTCCTTCTTCGACACGTCCAGCCACCGTTGTTCCTCTAGACGGCCATTGACCTTCACTTCTTTGGACTGTTCTTGTATGTCGTCAGATCTGCTGGGAAACTTGAAGTAGCAATTCGTGGACACTTGTCATGGTTATCTCACATGGTAGACCGCAAGATGAAAATGCCATCACGTCAGTTTCCAACCTGTCATAAAATTTTTGTTTCTCAATCTCACTGCTCCCAACCTTTCCCGCGTACGCCACCAATGCTCAATTGTCATTGTCAATTGCATTCTTAAGACGCAGAAAACCACTTCTGCGTGGGCGGAGTGTGATTGATACTACCCCTTAATCCATTTTGTGCGACCATACCATGATCTCAAATAGCCAAAGGAAACCTAAGAGAGGCGTTTGTGGGTTATCGCAAGTCGGCGATTGTCACGGGTACCTCACCCTCAGAGATCCAGAAACAGCAAGCACCCACGAAAACTCCCATGCTACGGTGGCCCAAGTGCGCATTAGGCCGTTTATAAATTGGTCCGAGCTTCCACCTGCAGCCAAGTGTAGGGCAAATTAGAAATACTCTACGCATAAACGAACGTATACTCCTCCCCGCTAAATCAATTACTATATATTTATACCCTTATACTTTTATATTGTATAACTAGCTTTAATTGTTTTATATCGCTCCCCGCCGCTACTTTACTACCGTCTTCCTTGCGTTTTTCTAAGGTTCTTATTCTAAATATTAAGCGTCTATACTAGCTTTATAAATTGCACTAAAATATTAATACTATAGACCTTTTAAGGTCAAAACCTACTTACCCCCACCTAAATATAGGATAATATTATAATATTTAAATAGTAAATAGTATACCTACTTAAGAAATTCAAAGAGTATAATATAAATATTACACTTAAGATAGTTAATAAGAATTTGGTATATTAAAATTATTTAAATATTATTGGAGGTAATTAATTCTAATTAATATTAATAGGAAATTGTATACTTATAGAACGTTTATAAGGTTATAAAGAATAAGGCCTAGGAAATTATTATTTCGAAAATTGAAATACTAAGTAATACGATTACTATTACTACCTATCTTTTTAAATTAAGAAAAAATATAGAGGGAAAGGAGTATATTAAATATATTTATATTATAATTTTACGACCGATTAAATAATATATTATTCCGTCCTATAGGGTATTAAACGGTACGTATATATATTATTACTATACGAACCTAAGTAGTAAATACTTATTTAAAATAAAGGTAATAGAGTAGAAGAAGAAGAAGGAGTTAGAGGAGGATATTTAGGAGCCGTAAACGGAGTAGAATAAGGACGAGATAATAAATAAAATAACCTTCAATAAATTAGAAGAAATAGAAGAAGTCTTAGTAGAAGATAAGAAGAGGCGTAAGGCGGCCAAATCTTCGCCTTTAAAGCGGAAGAGAGATATATAAGAATATTAGACGTATATTTTATAATGATATATACTTTATATTATATATCTTATAAATTTATATTTGTTATATTCTATCTCTTATATATTAATATAAGGTACCTATAGTATTTATTTATAATTTATAGTTGGGAAAATTATAGAATATTAGAAAAAACTATCAAAAGTATATATAAATAACTATTAATTACAATCAACTAACGTTAATTAAGAATATATTTTACTATATATTTATAATTATACTTTATAAGTTACGTTTAGATATTAGGAAAACTTTAATTAATTTGTAGAAATATAAAAGAATAAAAGTTTATTTGTACCTTAATATATATATAATAATAAAATTAGAATTAAAATACCTTTCAATTTTTAAAGTTATATTAATATTAATATAAGATTTATACTTTTATAAATTATAATAATATTAATATATAAAAGCTTCCTCTATTAAACTATATTAATTATTAACTTATAATAATTATAATAATCTTTGGTAGTTATAAAATAAGTTTAATTATAAGGAAATAAAGTATTAAAAGGAAAAAAATTTAAGAAGAAGGTAATATGTAGTTTTTTTATATAATATTCTATAATATGTAAATAAAAATATTTATACGTACCTTTTTACTTTAATATAAATAGATAATACTAATTATATAATTATATTTATTTATTAAAAATATAAGTTTATATTTTACTTTCTCAAAAAACTAAATAGAATTATTTAATTTAAGAACGTTCTCTTTTATACTTTTTAAATATTTTTTATATAATATAATAATATTAAATAAAGGTTATTGATATTATAAAAATAATTATATTATAATGCTTTTTATTACTTAATCTTTCTATATTAAAACTTTCTAAGATAAAGATTAGGATTAATAAATACTTAAATATAAATACTCTATTAAAAATAAAAAGTCTATATTAAATATATAATTAATATTGAAATAGAAAAACGTTATATATATATTAAAAAAACTCTAATCATATATAAATATACTTTGCCTTTTTTCAATATAATTTAATCAAATATTAAAATAAAAAATCAAATAAATATAATACTAAACTATTTATTAATATTTATTAGACTTTTTAAAATAGAAATAAAGTTTATAGCCCCAACTATTATTTAAACCCTATTTACCTTAGTATTTTAATTTTAAATTTATTTAATTATTTACTTATTATTTCTTTTCTTTATTAGAATTTTTAAAATTATTAAAGAATAATTAGCTTTATAAAGGACAAGATTAGGTAGTGAAAAGAATGAGAGAAAATTTAATATATTTATAGGTTTTTTTTTATATAGTTTTAAATATATTAAAAGAATTTTAAATTTCCCTTTTTTTAATATATAAGTAGAGTTTTCTTAACGTACAAGTAAAATTTCTCTTAATATATTACTATATTAAGAAAATATAATATGAATTTTAGAACTATTAGTAGTAATATATATTTCTTTACTTTTAAACTATAAATTACAATTAATATTTATAATAAAATATTAATTTAAATCTTTAATAAATTAAAATATTTTATATTAAATATTAAAAACCTCTACTTATATATTAAGAAAACTCTATTTATATATTATTATACTTTTATTATTTTAAGTATAATTTAATCAAGTTTTAATATAAAAAGTTGAATATAGTATTAAACTACTTATTAATTTTTAATAGACTTTTTAATATTAATATCGAGTTTATAGTTTCAACTGTTATTTAACTCTACTTTTCTTAACTTTTAAATATTAAATTCTTCTAATAATTTACTTATTATCCCTTTCTTTCCTTGAAGCTTTCTACAACTACTAAAGACAGGTACTTTTAGGGGTAGTAATTTTGAATAGAGGAAAAAAGAAAATTTAAAATATTTTTTAAAGTCTTTTTATATAATTTTAAATATAAAATAAAATATTAAAAATCCCTTTTCTATCTACGTACAAATAGAATTTTCTTAACGTATAAGTAGAGTTTTCCTAAATATTTATTAATTTCTCTTTTAAAAAGCCTTTTCTTAATTTTGAAAATCCTTAAAATTTAAATATTAGGAAAATAAACATAAAATTAAATATAGAATTTTTAAAAAAATATATATTATTAATAAATATATTATATATAATAGGGATAGAACAGTTAATAAAAGTATTTATTATATAATTTAATTAAAGTTCTATAAAAAAGGAAAAGTCTATTCAATATATATATCTACTAACGTTTAAAGGTTTTTATTAAGATTATATATTTTATATTATTATAATTTATAATAATTTTAATTTTAAAAACTAGAGGTTATAGCCCGGGCGCTAGCTTTATAATACTATATAAGTATTAAAAACGAAAATTTTAAAATAAAAAAGAATAAATAATTAAAATATTTATATTTAATTATAATAATAAATATAATAATTAATAATAAAATAATAAAATAAATTAGTAATTTAAATAATCTTTCTACAAATAGTTATATATATATAGTTGAAATTACTAATATTATACTATTTTACTAAAAATTTCGAATTATATTAGAAGTAATATATAATATAGTAGCAATTAACTAGCCTCGTATATAGTTAACTAAGTCTAATTACAAATAGTATTAGAATATTATATATAATTGTATAGAAATATTAAAGTACTAATACTGAACGTTTAATATTATTTAACTATTTTGTATATTCTATTTTTATATGAATAAACAACGCCGGTAAATACTTTACGTATTAAATCTATATAATAAACTATAAAGCAATTGACCTTATACTATATACGGATTTTCTTTAATAAATTTATATTAAT